AAATATTTCAGCTGTTCAACCCATGCTTCCCACAGCTTGGGATGGGTTGGGTCGAATACGGAGGTTTGTCCCGGAGCAGCAGCCATGACTGGAGGAGCGATGTGGGGTGCAGTGAGCTAGTTCTTGATGTGCAGTGCATTGCTCAGTGCACACTCTGGAGTCTCAGGGTCAGATGCTTGCTCAGGCATGCTCATCGGGATCTCACCTTCGTCGCCAGTAAAAAGTACTGGGTTCAGACATGTTATAAGTGAATCAGCTCATAGTTTATTTCAGTTTCAAGTTACAAGACAAAGTAGCAGGGTCAGAGCCCTGCTTAAATCCCCAAACACCCCACACCCCACACACACACAACCTGTGATAGGCTATTTACAGTGTACTCACACCCATAGGTCCACTCCCAGATCCGGGGCGGCCGATTGGCCCATTCTAGGATCCAAGCCGGCTATTGTCTCTTGAGCAAAGCTTAGCCCTAGCGCATAACTACGTGCTAACCCGATCCCGTGTGCAATCCGTGCTTAATACATAACAATCATCTTGAAGCATACTCTGCAAATAGGGGTTCCTAAGTACCTAATTGCCTATTGGTGTATTTGGATTTTGTGGGTGTGTTTTGGGCTAGGGGTTTCTGTATATAGTTGCGGCTCATCGCATGTGTGTTGTTGGTTCCTAATAAAAAGAACTATGCTGAAACCACGATAGTCTTGTGAACCCACCACTTCAGTGCACTTTTCAACTGGATTATTTAGTGTGTGTGACTGCAGCCTTTGAGTATTATTGCTTTGAAAACTGTTGCAACCCTTCTTTTTTCCTTGTAAGGGTTAAGTGGTTTTCCTCCCCCACTTACTTCACTGATGAAAATCATTCCTGCAAATCATCCTCTTCTGACTTTGCAAAGGAGAAAGGGCCTTGGGAGCTTGTTACAGGCCCCACAGTGCAATGTGTAGTTGGTCCCTCATGACGCCATCTCAGTTCTGGGTCCTTGGGGCTCCGTGTCAGGTCTCCAGACAATTTCCTCACGACATGCAGAAGCTGCTGGATGGGAGCAGTCCCCTCTTCATCCAAGATGTTGCCCATAACAACTGCTCTTCTTGTCCCCGTCCCCTTCCACAAACCTCAGTGGGGCTGTGTGGAAAGGTTAAAATGTCTAGCAATCTCTGAAGCATCACTTGCAGGAGACAGTCTGTGTTGTGAGTCTGATGCTTGCTT